TTATTTGCACCTGAATATTTGTGTGTTAGGTAATAGAATCATAATTCTCATGTAGAGATCTTTAGTGCTTTACAAACAGTAATTCCTTAGAATCACACCAGCCTCCACTGAAGTGTCACCACATCTGGGGTGGAGCTGTTTAACAACGTACAGCACTACTAAACCATTTAGGTCACGGACTGAAGAATATTGTAGCCAGTTAACATTGCAGAGAAAATATAGCAAGACAGTCCACAATTAATGAACCTGAAATTTGGTCAAAACATCATCACTAGATAAAACTAAAACCAGGAAAGATTCTGGTTTCACAAAACACCTCTCTCAGAGTTTTGATTTTGTGTAACCACCACCAGGCAGATTTGTACCTGGGACCTCTGGAGCGAGTATAGGAGCCTCTAATCTCTGAGCTAAAAGCCATCTGCCTCCTAGCCCATGCTGTAGAGGTCTCTTGGTCTTAACTGTTGCTGTGGTCTAGGTACCACTTTCATTGCTCAGTAACCACACTAAGGCTATGTCTACACTGGCGCGATCTTGCACCAGAAATATGCAAATGAGGCTAAGCATGGAATATCACCGAGCCTCATTTGCATTCCTAATGAGCCGCCATTTTTGCAGAAGAGGCTCTTGCGCCAGAAGGAGCTATCTACACTGCCCCTTCTTGTGCAAGAAAAACTCTCTTGTGCAATGCTGCTACACTGATTATTTTCAGGAATAACGGCATTGCGCAAAAGGGTTTTTCTTGCGCACGATGGGGCAGTGTAGACAGCTCCTAGCACAAGAGCCTCTTCTGCAAAAATGGCGGCTCATTAGGAATGCAAATGAGGCTCGGTGATATTCCATGCTTAGCCTCATTTGCATATCTCTAGCGCAACAACCCGCCAGTGTAGACATAGCCTAGGTGTGTGGGTTACATTTGCACAGCCAAAATCTGACATGGTTCAGATCTGGATCCCAATTTATGATAATCTCCACAAAGTGTAAGCAGGGAGATAGATAAATGACACCAGTTTGAGTCCATATGACATTAACACCCCTTTTCTAATAAAAAGGAACATGGGATCTTTAAGGCGCATGAAGGATCAGGGTGCTGGTTTTATAGCTCAACTAGACAACAGCAACTAAGCCACACAAGGCACCGGTTCAGGACTAACTATGGATATATCTAAACAGCATGACTGCAGCTTGTGCAGACATACCGGAGCTAGCCTTAGTCTAGCAAGCTCAGATATCAGAGCTGTGTAGCTAGGGCACAAGGTGCTCCCGTGTGAGCTGTATCCATCTGCCAGGTACCCTGGGTAATATCTCACAGGGCCGGCCCAGACTTATGCAGCTTCACTGATCTGGTACCTTGAGCTAGATAAAAACTAGCTTGGGCATGTCTACTCAACTACACTCCCATGCCATGACTGCAGTATAGACATATTCTCAGACATATTCTGTGATTCATCAGTCCATTTCTCAAAGGCACCTGGAGTGCTACAAAGGCGATCTTCCACCACCAACTGGCCGCGTGCCTGGGGCCGGTGCCGCCCCCCCCATTTGCTGCGTGCCCGGGGCCGGCGCCCCCTCCAAGCATCGCGCGTCTAGAGCACGGGTGGCCAATTCGCGGCGCTCCCGGGGCCGGCGCTCACCATGTGCCTGGGGCCGGCTCCGGCACCATGCATGCGCCACATGCCCGGGGCCAGGCCAGCCCCAAGCACTTGGCGGGCACACACAAATGCCCCCGTGGGCGCCATGGCGCCCGTGGGTACCGTGTTGGGGGCCACTGGTCTATAAGGTGCCACCGGACTCCTCGTTGCTTCTGCAGTTCCTTCCTGGAGCTCAACCCAGGCAGACCTCTGGGCTGATTGGGACAACCAGAACCTTGGACAGCTCCAAGTGGGCACTGGGCTCTTATAGTTAAGCGGATCTATATCATGCGGCTAAAGGCTAACAAGGGACAACTCTACAGAACCCGGACAGGGGAACTCTGCAGCAAGGCCCTAGAGAAAGGCTGGATGAAACGGCATCCCAGGGAAGTGGCCCAGGGACACAACCATACCTACGACTTTGAAACTCGGCAGGTATCTGCTACATATATGGTTCCTTGGGCGGAGACCCAGAAGAGTGGGCAGGCCTGGGTCCCCCCCCCCCAACCTCCTGAAAACCACACCCAAGAGAGGGGGTAAAAGAGGGGGCCTGAACTTTGGCCATGGACTAGACTTTGACTTGCCCACGGACAGGCAAGTTAAATATTGCAAGACCCCCTTCAGCCACCAAGGGGCACTTGCACTCAGGTCTGAATGTGTTACACAGCCCAAAAATAAATTGAGAAGGCATTTCTAAAGAAAGCTTTTCTAGTCACTTCCCTCCTTTAAAGCTGAAAGTTTGTCAATGAATAAGGTAGCAAGGCACAAACACACCTACCTCCACATTGTAAATATACCTATGGCATCAGTTCATTGTTAAATACAGTGACCTTCCGGCCCTCCTGTGCCTATGCATTAACCCAACAAATCCAATATTTTGGAATGTAACGCCACTGCAGAAGACTAACTGATCTGTAGACAACACAGATTTCTTAAAGGGTGCCTTTCCTTTTCTACCTTTGTTGAGAGGGACACAGATTTGTACTTCAATCATATACATCTACCTACCTACACTTTATCTGATTCATGGTGCATCAAGAAAATCTAAGTCAGGAATATGCACACAATCACATTCGCCTGCCCACACATACTTTTCCTGTACCTTCCACAGTAAGGAAATAAACAGCCTCACCCTGAAAGTGCCTCAGGCCAAATCGGATATGTAAATGTGTAAACACTCTGTGTCTAGACTGCCACTTCAGAGAGTGGAAAATGTGCTACTAAAGATTCCAGTCAGCTGCTGACACACTGCATTCTTCCACAAAGTTTAGCACTAGAACAGGAAGAGGAAAGCACTTAAAGGAGTTGATATAACCAAACACATCAGCAATTACACTTCAGTTGAAGGAAAATAACATGTAAATCCTCACAATGACCCATAACCCTAAACATTGCTTAGTTAAAGATTCATTTTTATAAGACAATATTTACTGCATTTATTTGCAAGATTCCCAGAAGCTGGTGACAGAAAATAGTCACTGCTGCTCAAAATAGAGGAGAATTTCCAAAGTACACCACACATACCAATAAAATCATCTGGTAATTTAAAAGAGAGAACTTTCATAACACTTTCAAGAATTTCCTTAAAATTTGCCTATATCTGACTAATAGTTGGACCCTGAAGCATCTGACAGGGTCTGGCTTTAGAAGTAAACAATGTTTTATTGCATTCTGCCCTCCCACAGGCTGGGAAAGGCACTCAAAAACAGCCACACTATTGTTCTTGGCAAGGCCACTCAAAGCTAGAAGAATGCCTGGAACCGCATTTATTTCTCAAAAATGAACTGTAACATGAGTTGTGGGGGCTCAGTATCTCTTACAATCTGTCCCCAAAGTAATCCTTCCTCATTTACATCCTCTGAAAATTTCAAGGAACTGAGAACTGTTTGCATAGAGTTGGAAGAATTCTGGGCTTCCATCTTCACTTGTAGATCTGTCAGTCCTTCCCCATGTGACAAGAAGAGTATGCATTCCTGTTGGCAATTTCCCTTTCTTGTGAAATCCTAGTTCTTCCATTTTGTCAGTGAAAACCCTATGTCCATCTATAGCTGCTGGAACTAGAGATAGTTCCAGCACCTATAGGGGTGGGTGCCACAGCATTGGCATTAATTGGTTTCCATTATATAGAAGGGTTACAGTTTGGTTCAATGGCTCTCAGAACCCCCACTATACAAATTGCTCCAGTGTTCCTGGGTCCATCCCCAAACCTCTAAGGAGGAAAAGAATCTGTAATACCAAGACTACATCTCCAGGAAATTTCATCTCTGTCATGTCTTACAGCTTCAGTCACTGCTACAAGCTGATGGACAATGGCCTCAATTATCTCTGGAGGCCAGACTCCTTCCCTGTGCCTTTAAAGAGCTGAATTTATGTTTCTGAATTCTCAAAGGCAAGCAGCATCCCTCAACAGTGCCTCTCATCCAAGAGATATGGATGGAGGATAGAGCCACATATTTCATGACAGAACCCAATGATTTCTGCTATGGGCCAGTATTGAATCTTGCTAGAAGCGGGAAATTCTGCAGCAGCATAAAATGCATGGAAAAATGCAAATGGAGAAGATTTATTGAATTAGAAGTTACAAAATTGATTATTTTATTCATGTTTAATTCAATACTAACCTCTGCATATGAATGTATCCCTCCACAACACACAAATTGAATGCTTTCATGCTAATGCAGAATTTCCAGTCAGCCAAAGAAACACACAGCGTTGTGAATACTAGCAGCAAATTGGCTTATATGCCATGACAACTATCTACACATGAGATGTCTCTGGGTGGGCTGTCTGTCAAAGCCCCATGTCACATTTACTGGTTACTCTTGCCCTTTATGTGCACAGTAGGGGAAAAGAGGAAAGATGGAGACACTTACGCAAAGCGTGCCATTCATCCTGGCGGATTGTCTTGGTAATGTTGTAGGTGAGGTTCTTGGGAATTGTTGCTGAGGAGTAGTGGTACTTGATGTATGTGCACTGATCAATTGCTCCTGTGATGGGCATAAAGAAAAATAAACAAAACATTGTTAAATAGGAACAACGTCTTCTCCCAGTCACAGCTCTTTCCCACCAAAAATAAGAGTGAGAGCCATATTAACTCCTTGGGTAATACCATTGAATCTAACGGGGTTGCTAGGACTGTCTTTGACTCCCTCGGTCTCTCTCACTTACAGATAGGGAAAGCATACTTTTTTTGCTCTGTCCTTCAATAATAAAAAGCATAACCTAGCAGGTTCAAGATTATATATTAATTATGCAAAACAATTCTCATATGCAGGGCCATCCCAATGGGGGAAGTGGGGGGAGTCCTGAAGCAACCCAGTGTCCCTAGCACAAGGCCTGGGGCAACATCCCCCCACCCCACCAACCTGCTGCAGATCCCACCCTGCCCTTCCCTCAAACTGCACCCCTGCTCCATCCCTGCCCTGCTTCCTTCCGCCCTACTCCCAAGCAATAGTGGCAGGGGTTGCCCCTCCCCACACACTCACCACATGGGCAGCGGGAGCTGGAGAGGCCTGGCAGCCTGCTCCATTCCACTCCTCCTTGCCCGTTGTGCACCACTTCTCTGCAGCAGTGGGAAGCAAAGTGCCCTGGAGCCAGAGCTCTCTGCAGCCACTGAGAAGCTGAGTGCAGCAGGCTGGGAGAGTGTGGCATATCAGAGTGGAGCAGAGCAGACTACCAGGCCGCTCCAGCTCTCCTGCCTGCATGGTGACTGTGTGGGGAGGGGCAACTGCCGCTGCTGCCCCACACAAGGCCCCATAATCCCTTGGGTCCCTCCCATGCATAGAACCGTTGAGGCAGCCACCACAGATCACCCAAAGCACGGGGCCAAGGCAGCCATTCTAATTCATCCTATGGGCGGGCTGGTTCTGCTCACAGGATTTTTTCCCCTGGCAAGAGGAAAGAGACAGGTGACAGCCACTCAGCTTAATAGCTTCAGAGGGGTAGCCGAGTTAGTATGAAACAGGAAAAACTTAAAAGACAACTCAGCTTAATGTACCTCTGGCAGGTGCCCAGATACCATGGCGATGCACATGGTATTAGAACCAGAATAGAAAAGAAACAACATGCAGTTGACCAAAAACACCGACAGACTTCAAACTCAGACATGAACATATCCTGCATTGTACTCCGTTCATCATGCAGCTGAGATTTCATCTGCAGTCTATGGAAGGCAGCTGTAGATGGTACTAATTTTTTTGTTCGATTTGATGGAGATACCAACTTTTCTTTTTATAGCCATTCCCTTCTTCCCACCATAATCCCCACTGCAAGCTTTGGTCTTCTGAGGAACCTCATCTCAGTGAAGGTAATGCCTATGGAAGCAGTGGATTTGCGTTAGCCACAGGCTCCCTGCCACTGGTCCATTAGCTAGTGTTTGCTTCTGGTCAGAAACATGTAGACTAGAGTGAGCCCTGCATGGATACAAAATTTCTATCCACATCTGTAAACAATGACACACAGATACTTGCATCCACACCTGTGGATATGGATATCCATGGACATACAGCAGATAGTTGTTTGATGATGCAAAGATGGTTGCAATGCCAACAGGGTTTCCTAGCATCCCTATCAACCTTTCTTTCACCAGACCATTGCTAAGCAATTAGGGTCTGATGAAAAGCCCACTAAACTCAACTTTCCTTTGACTTACATGAGCCTTAGGTCAGGGCCTTACTAAGTAGGTATTTTCAGTGTCATGGACTATGCTCAAGTCACCAAGAGGAGAAAAGACAAAGACTTTTCTAATGGTTGCTTCTCTGATGATACTCATACTCATTAGAGGATAGTGTGATACATTAAATTAAAAAAAAAGAAACCATACACCAATAAAGGAGAAAATTATGCAACCCTATATGGGAGGCAGGAAAGGAGCACCCACCATTAGTGCCAACATAAAAGGCTTTAATACATGATGCCAAGAACCCTGACTTTCAGCTCCAGAAAATTAAAACCCTTTCACCATTTGCCTCTGGAAGTCTAGGTTTCTAGCTACTGCAGGTCATAAATGTTACTTGGCACAAACAATCCACCATGGATTCAGAGTGTGAATAGAACATTATGCAACCAAATTATTAGTTACAACCCAGACTGTTAGTATCTTCTGAAGTGACTGTAGCACAAACATTGGAGGTCCTCACTGTTTGCTTTTCTTAAGTGTTCTTCGCATTCTGCCTTTGACAGCAATTAGATTAGACAAAACCAAACATTATAGGGAAAAAAGGCAAAATATTTACATATGTATCCGCCTGCCCTGACAGCGTGATGGGCTTCTGTGCGTGCCTGCACCATCTGGGCACCGAATGAACGCCCAGAATGAAAGTTTCAAACCAAGAATAGTATTTTTTTTAAAGCTATCATGGAAAGATCTTCTAAAAAAATTGCAGTCTTCCTAGTGATAAACTTACATCTTCATGCTAATTTGGAAAAAGCTCTCTACTCGCTTTTGCTCAGCTATGTTCATGGTTCAGAAGCTTTGACAGAAAGATGGAAATTGTTTATTTGTCTGGAAATAATCTTCATGTTATCAGATACCTATCCGGACAGAGGACTTGCCTAGAGCAGCTGCAAGGATCACAGATCCACAACTGAAAGAAAAAAAAATAGTGTTCCATTTGATAATGTTTTTAAAATAATATAATCAGCACTAATGGACTGTGCTAACTTTCTGTGAGAGGCATTGAGAATTAGTGGCTCTCAGAACCTTGCAGCATCAAACCCTAAGGTGAGAAAGAGACTATGACCTCAATTCAGGTGTCAATGGGATTTAAGCACGTTTAACTGTTTTCATGAACTGAACTGTGTTCCTCAACAAAGGCCTGTGTTGGCTGTGGTAATTGTTTAACTAAGATATACAGCATTTAGGAGAAATAAAATGTGTCAGTAGTTAAGTGAGTGGAATACCAATTCCTCCTATGCCTACAGAATTTAAAATACTACAGTAAATTTAGTTCAGAATATGTCAGAACCTGTGTTTCCTGTAAGCTGAGCTCATGGGCCGCTACCCAAGAGAGATTCAAATGCCACCCAGCTAATTTGCAGAGTGCCCATAGTGCCAACAGACAGCAGCATGTGTTTCTATTGGTTGGTGGTCCACATCTGCACATGCCTCAGTGCACAGAATATTTATTCCATGCATAGATGGAAAAAAAGAGGGAATATTGGTCAGAGCCACATTTAATTGACTGCTCAACACACCAGAATTATTTCAAATATACAACACTAACAACTGGTACACCACACTCCCTGTGGAAATGTATGTGCTACTTGGTGACTGCCTTTTACTGACCACCACTCACAGTTGTTTGCAGTGTTATAACCATGTTGGTCCCAGGATATTAGAGAGACAAGATGAGTGAGGCAGTTTCTTTGACTGCATCAACTTCTGTTGGTAAGAATAAGCAGCTTTCAAACTACACAGATCTCTTCTTCAGGTCTGACAGACAGGGGATATGAGCTGTAATAAAGTACACTCAAGCTTGGTCAAATGTATAAAAAGTTTTCTGTTGCCAGAGACAAGCTCACATTGGCACTCTGACTTTGCCTGCTCAAGTGTCAGTCTCAGGAACACCCCGGCAGTCAATGGAACTGCACGGATATGAAACCAGGGAGAGGAGTCCTTAAAGTTCCAAAAGGGTTCCCTTTGTCCAGGTCTCTAAACACAGTCAACAATTTGATCACTTTGTGACACCAGGTTTAAGAGAGATGGTGCCTTTCACCCCCAGAGAGGGTCTAGCTCGCAAGCCAAATATGGCTCACTGGGGAGCCAGATGTGGCATTTTTTAAGCTTGAGCCCAGCCCCACCTCACTACTCCCACAGCAGGGAGCCCATGCTGGCGCTACAGCAGGCCTGGGCAAAATAATCCAGCCCACGGACAAAGCAGAGAACCCCCAGGCAGCCTCCCATCCCCTCATGCTACTCAGAAAAAGTGGCTGCGGGGCTGTTTGTGTTTCATAAACTGTGAGCCAGGAGGGGAAGGAGGCATGGTGCTTCATGGCTGCTCCCACCCCCAGCACAATCCCATTGGCCAGTTTCTGCCCAATGGAAGCTGCCTGTTTCAAGAACAGACAGCACACAAAGGATCAATACTCCTCTCCCCTCAGGCTCTGATTCACACAGCACATGTCCCTAAAGCCTGGGGGGCCGGGGGGCACAGCAGGCTCCTGAGAAACATGCTGGGCTGGAGTCTCACTGGTAAGTCTCCCAGCTAAAGCCTGCCTCTGGCACCCCAGCCCCTCCTTTTCCCCCAGCCCTCTGCCTCTCTACCTCACATAGTCCAAACCCTCTGCCCACTCCTGAGCCCATACCTCCTCCCAGACCCTGCACCCCAATCCTCTGCCCCAGATCACAATCCCCTCTTACCTCAGGTCACAAGCCAAACCCGTCACTGTAATCCCCTGCCCTAGGTCACAATTCAAACTCCTGCACCCTAATCCCATGCCACTCAAACTCAGTGGCCAAAAAAGTTCCAGACCCCAAAAAAGCTCCCCACCCCTGCCATAAAGAAACGAACAAAAAACAGGACTATGTAGCACTTTAACTGCAGCTACACCAAACTAACACGGCTACATTTCTATCGCTATAAAGAAAGAAAATACAGAAACCTTTTGCATTGGACATTAATTAATATTTTACTTTATTTAAAATGAAGTTTGATAAACTAACATGGGAAAGTTAAAGCGCTTAATCTGCTTAATTTAAATTGCTATTTCCTTTCTTAGGCTATGTCTAGACTACATTCCTCTTTCGAAAGAGGAATGTAAATAAGGCAAATCGAAGCCCCTCACAGCCCCATATCCTCATATTCTGGAACCCCCACATCCCCAGTCTCCTGCCATAAAACTCCTGCACCCCCCCACACACACAACCCTGTGCACTGAGCCCATCATACACCCCTGCCCTCAGCCCCTCATATACCCCAACGCAGATGTTTGCACCCTCACAGCCCCAGTCCCCTGCCATAACACTCCTGCACTCCTCCCCACACCT